AAATGTCTTAATTAAATGATCGGAACCGGCATAATAACTCAGAAAAAATACACAGTCTCCGACTCCGGTTGTATCCTATCCCTTTCACTCCTTCTCAATTTTACAAGCCATCTCTTTCTATGCCAGACGAACTTGTAAATTGTTCTTTTTACGCTACACCCGCAACGAAAGGTCTTAAACGAGATGAGTTATTAGGAGTTTCACCTTTGTGTCTAAGAAGATAGAATTCTTTTTTAGATTTTGAAAATCTTTTCCTACATTTGGTAGTTCACGATGATGATCAAGTTATCTCGCTCGGACAAAACAAAATACAGCACAAGTCCTTTAAGCTTTCGAGTCTAGTTGCTTTACCGCGATTGCTTTTTGTATCCCTGTCCCTTTTCTCTGGCCATTTCATTCGTAACCAAACGGGTTTGATTCTGAAATCCTTAGAGATTTCCTTTTGAAATAAATTTGGACTTTAAAGTTTACAGTCTAGAGTGATTTTTGGCGTGTTAGTCTGATTGCAATGTTAAGGTTTAATATGTTTTCGTGAAGATGTTAGTGTCACATTCTACGATGCGATGTGTGGTGTTTTTATTGTGAGTGCATTAAGACATGCATTGCTCTCCGTTTGGTTACTGTTGACCAGTCCGGGTAACTAATACATGATTCATGTGTAACCTATTGGGAATGACGCGATTTCACGCACGCACTCGACAGAAACATTCTTTTGTAAGTCATAGTATGCGAGGTATAGTATGTTTGCTGTAGTTTTTGAGTGAATTGCTCGTGGTAATAGAGATGATGGTTGAAATCCGATAGCTACTATACTGCAGATGTAGTTTGATGGTTATAATGATGGCTTTAAGTAAAGTGCAGAGACAACATTGAAAATAAGTACGGATCACAATCAAGAAGCTGATGAGATCTGCAAAGACGGTCGATATCTTGTTACATATAATGCTTGTGTATCACAAGCTAAAACATGTATGGTATCACAAACAAAATAACACTCACATGAAAACAATCCCGTACATGATTAATCCACTTGAAGTATACCTCATTACGTCTCCCATTATCCATCCAACACGGCTCTCTTTACCGTAATAAACCCATCAAATCCATCCACTGATGACAACGTCCAAAACCGAAAAAAAGTCCGACCACAAAAATTCCCCGTCACACCTAATTTGACCTTTTCATTTCCAACCCCATTAGTGGGTTCTAGAGATCATATTTGTGTTTCAAGTTGGAGAAATGGTTCAGACCTTGTGTGATTAAGGAATATTTCCATAGTTTCTGGGAAATGGTCAATTGGTTGAGTCGTCAGCAAGTTGTCATCGCTTGGCAAACATTTGTCCAGTAGTCGCCGCAGTAAACATTCTGTCCTCAAGTATTTGCTCACCACTCGACAAATAGATAATTATTTAGTCTGTTTCCATATTTAGATATTGAATTTCATCATTGTGAAATTCATTTTTCATGTACTTACTTTGTTAAGGTAAATTTAGATTGTCAGACTATGTGACCGCATTTCTTTTTGCCTTAAGTATTTATCATCTACGACGATTAAGTATGTGAGTAAGACTTGTTTGATCCCCAGATCGAGCAACAAATTACAGTGGTCTTAGAAATTTAGATTTTAACTCTGAGGAATAGTTTTGTGTGTAGGATAAAATTAATATAAGTGTCCTGCTTGGCAAAAGAGGCACTTACTACTACTTTTTATCACATTGTCTTTTTTTGAACGTGGTGTTGGGCTATTTTTGTGATGATATGCTTTTTTGCTTTTCAAATTTACAGTCACAATAGTATGCGGTAATGAATTGGCCAAACCTTTGTAAAAATTTTAGATCAAAAACTCTTGAAAAGGCCCCATCATATGGAAGCTCTCGAGTTCGTTTTAAGTACCTGTATTCCAACTTTCTTCTGCTTCTTGCTCAACTTTCTCATGATTGTTGGACAATGTCCTCAGTGATGTCTTTCCATAAACTGTTTTAGTATTTGGTTTGTAAAAATTGTAATTAGCTACAATCTTAATAAGGTACACTTACCGGTAATTTTTTGCTATAAAATTTTATTTTTTTTACTTCCAGGCGTATTTTCCTTTATGTCAAGATATGCTTATAAACAAATCACAAATGCTAAATGCACTCAGAACAATTATCTGCAAGTCGCATACTCTTATCGCGTGCAGGATTCGAATTCACGACACGCAATGCAGTAGCCAAGTGCTTAGCTACTGCGCTAACTGGGCTTTACCCTTTTTATTAGTTAATGTTTTCTTCCTAACTATCAGACAAATCTATGTATCTATGAATATATAAATAAAAATGAATTTGCTTTCGTTACTCTCGCTAAAGCTCCAGAACGGCTAAACCAATTTAGCTTATTTTGGTCGTGAAAGTCCAGGGAAGAAGAGAAAAGAATTTTTGGGCGGAAACAGTTTATAAATACTAGCTGTAGTATTTATAAAATATTCCAGCATTATAATCGTCATGCATTTTATATCACAAAGAGGTAGGTATTCAGACTCTTTTTAATTAACTATAGGTACAAGTCTACTAACACTATTTAAATAATTGTATAGTTTATAAGTAATAAAAAATATAAACACCAAAACACTAAATTCACTTCTAGACTAAAGTTTTATAGTTGAGAAGATTGAGTATTTCGAAATCAAAGGCATTGGTAATAGTTACCTACATGAAGATTGAAACACCTTCCTTTTGTTCAGCAATATTATTATATTAGTCTATCTATTTTTGTCGCGGAGAACCTAACGGGTTACCGGGGCTCCGGCTCGAAGTGCAGGAGAAGGAACGGGGTGGTTTTTAGTCAGTAAGAGTCTGACACTCCCTCCCGCCTCACCTCAGGCGGGAGCAGTCATTCGATGATTTTCCCCCCTTAAAAAAGTCTATCTATTTTTAATAATGACGACCGATGTTTGAGGAACTAACAACATTAGAACTATGGCAACACTCAATGAAAGCACGTTGAATGTCAGCTGTGATCGAGTTTGTTTTACGAATCGTTTTTTGTTAAAAAGTTACGAGATTGGAATTAAAGTGAGTAAAACTTAGGAGTTTTTTAAACATGCTAAAGAACAATTCGGAACGGAACTAGACTGATTGTATTTCGAGTACTTTTTTTATACATTAGCATTTTCTCTTGTGTGGTGGGTGCGTTTACAAACATACAAGTTCAAATACACAATGACACCCAGATCAGAAACAACAATTTGTGGATCACACAAAGTGTTGTTCCGTGCGGGAAACGAACCCGCGACTCGTTGCACAGCAGCCGGTTGCCCAGCCACCGCACCAACCGTACAGTCAAAAGAGTATAAATAAAGTTATTTTCAATAGAACAAGAAGCTGGACAAATTTTGTTAAAATTAACATTAGGTTTTCGCTCGAACAGTGACTGTGACGGGTAGGAATCGTATAACTGTTTATATTTTTTATCTGCTAGAAGTGAAAAAGCTACAAAATAAACGATTTCATGTTTAAAATAAGGATTGTTTACATAGCATATTTATTTAGAAGTTAGTTTCGTATTTTATTTAATTGGTACCCACAACCTGTAGCGCCATCGTTGATTTTCATTCAAAAATAGACAAACTGTAGTAGTTGCTATGTTAATTCAACGTGCAGCAGTTTGTCTTTTCACCAACGTTTGTCTTTTCCAACGACGACACTTTCAGTAATATTCATTCATTCGTTTATTTATCTTCACCCTTTTCATTATTTTCATCTACAACATACTTATCAGTATCTAAAATATTATTATCACCTGTACCTTGACTTAAAACGATCATTTTATTTATTTTAATCTCCACACTTCTCCCAATATCATTAATATTGTTGTAGCCTTCAGCGTATCCTGTGTTTTATTGGAATTTCTTTCGTCCGTCCGTAACAAATGTCTTTCTAAATCACAGTTATTGTTATGATTTAGGATTTATAATTATACTATTTCTGTCATCGGCCATGTTTGTTTTGTTTTTTTATTGGTTTTATTAGTTGTTGTTTTGTTTTCTATTGGAACTTTCTTTAGTTTTAGATGATGATCAAAATTTAATCTCTCTGATAGTTTTCAATTCAGCCTTTAGTAATTGTTATATGAATTATTTTTGTTGTTATAAGATTAAGTATTATTTTTGTTAATTTAGTTTTTTACTTTTCATATCGATGTATTAAAAATCGACTGAATTTTATTTTTTAACTCGTCGAGTACCGGTTTTGTAGACACAATTATAGAACAATAGGTTGCGGTCACCGGTGACCGCTTGGTGTTTGACAGTTTAAATAGAGAATGTAGGTATTTGTTTTCCAAATACCATTTAAATAATGCAGTCTGATTTTCAATGGTAAATACTCTTTATTAAGTTCTAACTTTGTGTCACAAATACCGAACAATTTTATAAATGAGTATAAAAACCTATAAAATGAAATTTCATTTATTTGGTACCTTACTATTGAAAAGCTCTAATCAATGAATACCTTCATCAAAAAACCCTTGCGTTTCAGTTCAAAGTGAAACATTCCAGCTTCCGTGCTGAAAGGGGCAATAATGACATAATTACACATGGACCTCCCACTTACCATATTTATTTACACATCCATGTTCACTCAATAAAAAACCCCTTTATCGTTCATGCAAATCCATGAATTATCATTGTTTATGTTAGTGCATCAGTCAGCATAGCGCTAAGAAAATGCGATTAAGACATTATCTGGTTAGCACTATCCGTGCCCGAGCAGGACAGAGCACAAATACGCCCGCATATAATTTGTACGGAAATAACTTTCCGTGTGAGAGAGACGGCGCGATTGAAATGTCAGGTTCGACGGGCGCATAATGAGAAAAGTGTTGTCTCTTTCTCTCTAGACGTTTTACAATCGTTTATTGTCATGTTACTGTCTCGTTTCGACGGGCAAGATTGAGATGAAATCGCCGTCGGCGCGTTTCGTCCATGTCCACCCGCTATTTATATTCTATACCGGCGTGTACGGCGGCCGAGGCGGACGTCATTCGTGTTATTTTTTATTTCGTCAATTACTTTTGATAATCGTTATTATTTTTCTAAATTAAAAACATTGACTTTAGTGCGAGGATTCGTGTGCAAGTGTTTGTTTTACATTATTCTATAGTGTCGTCAAAGTTTTTTTTAACATACGATTGATAAGTGAGCATGTGTTGTGTTCGTATTTATTATTATGCGAATGGATTGCTTTTGCTACCGGCGATATAGTTTGACACACGATGACCTGAACAATTAAGATAACAACTGTAAGTAAATATGTCAAATTTATTAATTATAAAAAATGCTGATAAAAAAATACTGAGAAGTGGATGTTTGTCGTAATAGCGTAATTAGGATTTGAGCGGTAACATTATTTTGGTGAGTGTTTTTGAATTGCAATTCGTTCGTTATTAGTTTGTGTCAAGTTGAGAACATGTGGCCAGTGGTGTATTTGTACCTGACTCTTTGAGAATGAAGGGGCTGACTTTTTGTATGTTTAAAAACAAAGAAGTGGTTGGGCCGGCGGGGAGCCGTCCGGTGTTGCAGTGCAGTCACGTTTTTAGTCATTCCCGAGAACGACGGGGATTTTGTATTTATCACCCGGTGTGAACGTCGCCAAGTGCCTTTGCATTTTTTATTAATATATGAAAAATTTTGTATTCCAAGTATACATTCGTTTTCTCAGAATTGCATCGGATGCGTGGATTACCATATTCCTGACAAAGTTGAACTAAAAACTATTTAAGTACTAAATAATCACTACATAGTATAAAACAAAGTCGCTATCCGCCGTCTGTCTATCCCTATGTAAGCTTAGATCTTTAAAACTACGCAACGGATTTTGATGCGGTTTTTTTTAATAGATAGAGTTATTCTTAACCCTTTGAGTACCGTCATTATAGACACAATTAAAGTGCAATAGGTTGCGGTCACCGGTGTTCTCGCGGTGTTTGACAGTTTAAGGAAGGTTTATAAAATATGTATAATAGGTACATGCATATTGCAACCCGTGCGAAGTCGGGCTGGGTCGCTAGTACCTATTATTATATTATACTTTGTATAATATTATAGCTTCATAGACATTATGTTTCATTGAAAACTTTGTCACAAACAAATATCTATGTGTTAAAGGGTAATCGGGTAATAATAGCATTATTTTAACTACCGCTAACCTATATGAGGGTAGATGAAGTAAATAAAAGACACCACTGCAAAAGTACCTTCATAATTAATTTTGTAATTTAAAAACTATAAAATGTTGTGTTCTTATAGTTTTGTTGTTATCGTAAGTATGTAATAAAAACATGATAAAAGTACCTAGGTAGTTTAATTATTGCCTGCCTCGTTAGCCGAGTAGTTGCAAGTGCGACTGCCGAGGAGTCTCGGGTTCGATTACAGTGTCAGGCAAAGTTATTACTAAGTTTTAAAAAAATATCTTAGTTACTACTAAGATATTGCTACTGCTCAGGGTCTGGAATTATACCCGATATATGGCAATAGGTTCACCCCCCTATTACATGGGACTCATAACATGAATAGTGAAAAGTGGTTGTTGCGTTGTATCTACGGTGGCATTAAGAGCCGTAATATGCACCTCTGCCAACCCCTTTGAAGATAAACCCGCGTGATGTTATGTACGAAGTTTAATTAATAAAGTAGGTGTAAATGTTTAAAAAGTGAACTATAAAAAATGAAAATAAATATATTTGCGTTCTTATACCGTGTCGTCGTTAAATAAGTTATTAGATACAAACTATAAATATAATTCTACTCGAATTTGTTTTTGCTATGAAAATATTTCTTAATAGATACATTTTAATTATAACCGAGTTTGAAAACGGAGGAGATTCGGTTTTGGTATGTGATGTTTGTTACCTACTTATACAATAATTAAGCACTTAAAATCACGAAAAAGAGTAGTATATTGCCGATTTTTCAAACCGCAGATAATTATGGTACTATGGAATAAAATTGACATCACAGTCTTTTTTTTATTTAGTATGGAAGAATTGTCAAATATTCAAAGTTATAACCTCTGATAAAATTTAACAGACATTGGAAAAATTGGCCTTAAACATGGTGGACATTTCTGTGCAATACGGTAGTTACTGGCGGACTTTTATGCTAAAGTGGGAGGCAAAATATTGTAGACAGAGACATAATTGACGAAGGATAGGATTTTTTTTTAAGAGGCGAAAATCATCGAATGACTGCTCCAACCTGGGTGAGGCGGGAGGGAGTGTCAGACTCTTATTGTCTAAAAACCACCCCGTTCCTTCTCCTGCACGTCGAGACGGAGCCCCGGTTACCCGTTAGGTTCTCCGCGACTCCGAATCGGCACAAAGGATAGGATAACATAAATAGTACACAATACTAATAATAGTAATATCTGTTACATTGTACAGTGACATAATGTATACCTCTTTCTACCCTTTCGGGGTTAAAAGGAGTGATTTTATGTTATGTTATGATAGGATAAGAACAAGAAAGATTTCTGCAACATAAAATGTACTAAAGAACCTATGAAACTGCTATTAAGAAGAATTAATTAAATTGAGTATCAAAAGGGACCAATGAAAGAGGTCACGCATTAAATCTAATTTCTAACAAAGACGAAACGTACACTTAAAAGCGAAAATAGCCATTTAACACGAAATTAACTACGAAACTCATTACGAAAACTCATTAGCCAATAACTTTAAGCATAGCTTTAACATTTCTATGTATTATGATCAAGCGCAATTACCATGAACGATACAAAAGTACAGTCAACTATATAAAATTGTAAAACAGTAAGATTTCACCATTAATAACTTCATAATGCTCACATTTCACGAACACTGACGGAGGTACACGAACGGTTCCGAACCGCCCCGAACTGCCCCGACGACCTGAGAGAGATCACGACTACGAGAGATAGAGTAATGATTTGTTTGCTCACTATCGATTCTATAGATGAGTTATCGATAGAAAATGTAAGATAGTAAATGATGTAATTGCTTTGAATTCGTAAGCCTATCGAATTAATTCGCTATAGTTGATCAGTGATCACAGACAGGCAAGAAATTAAACTTAGGAAATAAGCCAAATTCCAATGGATGAAACACCCTCGTTCGTATTTGGAAACGATACGAAATTTCAAGTAGCCGTTGAGTTTAAAAAATTGCAAACAGAAATAATTTTGAGATCATTGCAATTTCCAAATTCCGAGCCACTTATAGAAAAAATTTAAACCCCCAAAGATGTGAAATAATTCTAGAAATCATTGAAAATATTGAGAATATTTAGCACTTACAAACAAAAAAACTGATGGTAGTGACGATTCAAAAATATATTCCTTCCGCGTAAAAGTTCATCCATTTCTCATTGCGAATATAGGAAATTAAGTCTTCATGTATTGATACAACTATTATCTTAATTGGTTATAACATTTATACGTTTATATTGCAACTTGTAAAACCTATAATATATCTATTTCGAGTAAAATAAACGTCGTATCTCTATGATCTTTAATTAAATACAGAAGTGAATTCACATTAATATCTATTTAACTCGAAACAATTTTAACGTCTTCAATTACATTATATATGGGTTATATATCTTAGAATATTTCCATAATAGTTAACCAATAAGCTGAAACATTACAAGCCATTATGAATTCCTTCGTGCGCGTCTATAACAATTATTGGTCTATCCATCGACTCACGCGCATCGGTCGTCGACATGCCTTCATCTCTCTATCGATCTTGGATCTTGTTGATTAAGCTATTACCAAAACTACACGTTTTCTCATCTACAAATGCCCTGCGGCGCCGCTCGCGGTTTTTTTAAGTTATAAATCACATCCGTTATAGAATTCTTCTATCATTTTGTGTAGTTTATTTTTTGTAATAGATGGATTCTTTCTTTGTGATTGGTGTTTAAGTAAATTGGTATGGTCATAATGCTGATTGATTTTTACATTATTCATTATGATCAGCACGATATCCGAGATCGGGTCATGATTACTTGTTATATTGTGAATTTATTCTTAGTAATGATAGATTGAGCAATGAGAGACTTGAAAGAAGATTATTTTCGCTCTTCAATTTCTCGGAAGACGATTAGATATGTTTTTTCTTAGATTGACAGAACTACAGTTTTGTTTAGTAAGTAGATTGTGAAGTGAGGTATTGAAACTGTCAAGTTAAGCTTTGGAAAGTGTAATACAAAACAAGAAATAGTTCGGTTAAATTGTTTAAAGGTAATAAAGATTCAATGGGGTTGTTTATTGTACCAGAAAGTTCGTCTGATATTTAAATGGGTTCAATAAAGTCAATGGAAAATGAAATTTAGACATAGACAAGCTGCAAAAACAACAATAAAAATAATAAGGTAAGGAAGAAGAAATAGAAAACAGTGAAGTCCTAAAGACTTTACTTTAATGTAATAAAATTGTTCAGATAAAACTACTGAAGCTTTATAATACCATTTTAATTACAACATTAATTAATAAGAGATGTAATCTAATACGACATAGACTTGGTTACTTCCGACGAAGTTCGAATTTTAGTTGAAACGTAAATGAAACTAATACAAAGATATATCGCATTGATAAAGAACCAGAAACAGGCTATGCATCAAATAACAATCTGTAAGAAGAACATAAAAAAGTAGTCAATGATGGAAACGTAATAATACTTTATAATGATGTTTTGGATATTGCCACAAGAGATATCATTCCTTTAGAAAAAAATTCTATCTATGTTTTGTATGGATAATACGGCAAAGTAACTAAATTCTAAATTGTGTCGAGAGATGTTTGAATTTAAAATTGTCTATATCACCTTTAGAGAGTTCCAAAGCCTTTCCTAATTCTGCATTAAGACTTAATTTAACATTTCAAGCCTATTTAAAGTCTGTAGCTCCAGAAAATACTTTTTAATTCATTTGTTTTCCTCTCCTATCTGCATCGTTATCGTATACCGATCATCTTTAGCTGCCAGCGAACGAATTTATTTATTTTCAAAGACAATAAACTTAAATAATACTAGGACTCCTGGAGTTACCTCGCTTATGTTAAAGTTTTTGCTACCATCTGAACTTTATCTTTGAACTTTATGCATTCTCATTTTCTTGTGATATATGTATATTTCTTTTTGTTTCTATATGGCTTTTGTTGTTTGTACGAAATGGTTTTATAGGACAGTTTACAGCATTTTTTGCGTTTGTTTTGCTCATAGGCGTATTTCTATTTTTAATGAGTTTGTGTGTCAATTACATAAAT